TCTCGAATTGAACCATTTCAAAGAGTTGTCTCACCACATCATCTTCTGACCAGGATTTTTCAATCAGTTTGGGCAGAGGCCTCTTGACCAGACGCTGCAGAGCTTTGGCTGCATCATAATGGCTTGCATGGAGCTAAAATTGAGATGGGAAAACTGTCAACATATTTTTTGCATATTTGCACTGAAATTGCATCATTTACTCAAAGTCACACAATACAAATTTTGCTCCGCACCATGTTGAGAGCGTTCAGCGTGGTATCATCACGGGAAGCTGCCAAACATCCATCCTCTGTGGATCCGCCATCACACATTCCTGCAAATGCTGCCATGCTCCTAAAAAAGGGCCAAAGTCATGAAATATTGTGCGAAATGCGTTATTGAGAATATGTTTTAATTAATAAGCTTGTAGTTTAATGTGCTTTGGAAACAAAGATGTATGTTTCCAGTATTACGTTGAACATAAAGCAATAAAGGTGCACGGAGGGCGACTGACCTGGCTGCTCTCAGGTACATGAGAAGGTCACAGTCATTGACTCCAGGTGTCCACATGAGCTCCTCATTGTCCGTCTGGGTCTGTGCACTAGGTGCTGGCCGCGGCTGCAGCTCTGGGAGCTTAGCCTGCAGGACAAACAAAGAGGGAACTGAAGGAGCTCCGACACTTCTAAGCAAATAAAACTAAAAACCAACATTATTTGACGTTTCAACAATAAACGGAAAACTTGGGAAGGCGTTACTGGAACAAATTCCGAGATTGTGCCTGACTGTATTGAATAAAAATGATACAAAAGAAGCTCATTACTCTCGCTTGCGCCCAGCTCTTTCAGTCATTAACTATTCCTCATGGCCATAGATATGGGTCAGCACCAAAGTGCTCAGAGGAAGCTAAGGAAATAACTAAGGAAAAATGCAAACTCAAAACATCAAGACCCCATCTGAGACTGGAACCTAGCATCTTACTGGGAGGGAGCAGCGCTAGTGGCTGCTACTATGTGTTGCATAATGGGTTTCTTAATGGATAATAGATTCCATAAGATGCTGAAGATATTTATGGTAGTTGCCTTGTGGTGCAAATGTATCATTATCATTTAAAGCACATCGGTCAAGAGGCTGAAGGTAACTCTGGAGGATCTACAGTGATACACAGCTTAGGTGGGAAGAGCTGTTGACAGAACAACTACTAATCTTTCATTGCACAAACCATGTCATAATGGAAGTGTGGCAAGAAGAAAGAGTGTTCAAAGAAAACCACAGGAAGTCATGTTTACCACAAAACAAGTAAGGAAACAAAGCAAAAATGTGCAAGAGTGAAACCAACCTTTTGGCACACATGCATAATGTTATGAGTTATGAAAAACTAACACTGCACATCACCCTGAACAAGCTGTAAAACATGGTAATGGAGGCATCATGCTGTTAAGATATATAGTTTTTCTTATTACTTCTGAAGGGAAAGGGAAATGGACTGAGCCAAATGCCAGGCTATCCCACAGGAAATCTCCGCGAGGTAAAACAACATGACAACAGACCCGGATATACAGCCAGAGCCACAATGTCAAAACATTTTCATGTCTGCATGAATAAGCTCTGACCTAAATCAATTTGAGAAAATGTTAGTAGACTTAAAAATTGTTGTTCATGGATGGATGATCTCCAAATAACCTGATATTATTTTGCAAAGAAAAAAAAAATGGGCAAAAGTTTGGCATGTGCAAAGCTGCAGGAGACACAACCCAAAAGAGTTGCTGCTGTAATTGCACGGAAAAGTAAATGTGCAAAAGACTGACTCAAGAAGGGGCGGCATGCAAATGCACTCCGCACTTTTTAGATTTATTTGTGAAAAATGATTGAAAGTTCACTTCCTTTGTGGTCTGCCCAACAAAATATGCAACAGTTTATGGTTGCAATGTTACAAAATGTGGTGGGGGAAAAAAAATCCAGTTTTTGAAATGTACAGTATGATACATGTCAATGATAAAATGTGAGCAGATTGCTGCTTTTAAAGCTTTTCAACAATGAATGCACCTGCAAATGAGGCCTCAAAGGCTATTTTTAAATAATCTTACACCTGAAATACTTTAAATCATTTTCTTACAACCACTCAATAAGCATTTACAGTTACCTGGTGACTTGGTCCCACTCTTATTTCACCTTGTGTGCTGTTCAGGCTCCTGAAATAAAACAAAATTCAGCTTATAACAGCATTTTGAAGTATATAAAAGGATTTCTATGTAAATGAAACTGAGTGAAAGCATATCTATCGTTACAGTACAGTCAATTATTATACAGTATATGCAGGCAAACAGTATGATCTAATATGCTTCCTGTATCATCTGAGGCTTTCCTCCCATCGCCTGGCACTGATTTCAGCTACAGATCATCATCCCGCCCCTCGCTCCTGTGATCCAATCTCAGCTCACAGTTTCTTCTATTACATGAATGAAATCCGACTCCACAGCGGCTGCAAAACACTGTCAATCAATCACGCATAAGCTGCTAATTTTTACGGTCACCATTACGAGAACAGTGTGTGCTGTTCGCAGATCTTAACAAGTTGGCAGTAAAGCACGCTGTGTCTACCTGTTTAGTAAAAAAAAAAACGGCAGCTAAAGTGTGCTATCGGTAATAAACCGTAAAGGTTAGCATCCACAAGACGTTAATGTACATTAGCAACGAGCTGCACAGATAGGCGCTTAGCCTCAGGGTGAATTAAACAGCTGGTTCACTAAATGTTTAAACAAGTGCTCAGTAACAGAATAATTTAAATTATGCCTGGGGATACAAGTGTTAGCCACATTAAAGCGAGCAAAGAGGCGTTTTCCCAGCGGGAGCCGCTAGCTGCTAACGAGGTAACATCTAGCTTGTTAGCCACACACGAACTTCGTGACCACTGACACTCCGGCTATTAAACACGAACGGCCCTCAAAGTAACGCCGCCGGACACGAAAAGAAGCATTTAACACACACTGACCACAAGCGCAACGCGAATGACAAGTTATTGAAGTTACCTTCGCGGACTGAACAGGTCGTCCATGTCGACGGATGTTTGGTTGGCTGTGGCTTGTTGACACTACGCAGCACAGTGGGCGAGACACACACGCATACACACCAACTGTGCGAATCCCCTATTACATGGCAATTCAAAATGGAGGCGGTGTAGTGTAGAGACTCGCTCTATTTTTTCAGTGCAGTGACCTCAACAGCCACAGCGTAGCGTTCACATTTTAATCTGGATGTACATTACTGAGCATGTGCCGCAGACACGCTGGGCTTCATCAACACTTACTGCTGCTGTTGCTGCACAGTCAGCCATGAATCTTAACAGCTTATCATACTGTGTGTGCACTGTTGCGGTGATTAACACTGTTATGCAAGACATTCCTTTCGCGAATACGACTGTCCCTCTTAATAATGTAAGAACTGCTGCTGGCATCTTATTACCCTTTATTGGTTTTCAAAAGAAACATTTTTATTAAAACCAAAAAAAGGAAAATGAGCATTAGAACTTATTTGAATTTTAAAGTTTGGGAAGACCCATGAATATTTAAAATGCGCAAAATTTGCGTTGTGACGGCGCTACCTGATATGGGGTTAGAGGTGTCCAAACTGCGGCCCCTGGGGTCCATTGTGAACCCAGGACTGATTTTTTTACGGCCTCCCGAATGGCATTATGGGTCTAATTTGGCCCTGCACCGAAGCTGGTTGACGGATGGTATTTAATTAGGGCAAACTTGAGACAAGAAAAAGTTAGGCACAACACAAAATATTCATCTTTTCATAACCAGCCTTTTAGCGTGTTTTTATTAAATTCCAAACTTGTGGAGGGCATAACTAGTATTAACATTGGAGTCCATAAACTCTTAACTCTTCTAGGTGGTATAGATCTTTTTAAGCACACTGGCTGTTGTAATCTCCCTTTCTTTTTCAGCCAGGCTTGTTTTTTTTTTTATTTGCTTTCTTAAACGCTGCCTTGCAGGTCCTGACAAGCAGGATAATCAACTTGACTGGGAACAACCCATTGTGTTTCCTGACAATATTTTTTTGGCCTATGAGCTGGGTTCATTCATCACGCATAGATGAATAAATATTATGGTGTGGTTATTTTCTTTAGTATAGATTTTTTTTCTTGTCTTTCTCTTTCACCAGCAGAGGATCCCATTGGCTAAATTCAGCTGCGATCTCTCTCTAGCTTTGTCACACTCCTTCACTGACTTAGTGTGATTTGAAAATAAGCTCATGGTAATACTGACAATAGTTTGTAAATCACTGCAACTTTGACATGTTAAATCATATTCATTTGGTACTTATTGTAATTTAGTCAAAACCTATACCTATTTTGCCGATTGTAAGACATTTCTCACTTTTTTATGCCATTAGGTTCAGAAAGATGATGAGATCTTGCTTTTACACTCATTCATTTGTGGATTTACAGCAGTGCTTGGGTTTGTCATGCTTGACCCACTGTGGATCAACCACCTGCTCTAAGACAGTTGGGCACTTTTTTGCATTCAGAAAGACTTATAGTCAACTCACTATCACTATCTGCAAAACAACTAACAGCCACTGAACTTCAGCCTCTGCGATTGATTGTTGGTGTGAGACTCTGATTGGCTGTATCATGCCACTCTGCAAAACAGTCTGAATTTAAACCAAACTCAATGTAAACTCCAACTCAACTCCAGTTTGAACTTTAACTACTTAGTACTTTCTCATGCAAAGAACCAAAGTTGGTGTAAGATCTAAGAAAACTCTCCTTTAAGTAAAAAAAAAAAAAAGCCTTAACATCAGAAAAGCTCACAAAAGTGACTTGATAGCATAACTTACATATATTACCGTTTCCTCCCTCAATTTTCTACCTCCCTCCATTTAAGACCATCAGCAAACATGTTTTCTCCAGTTAACAGTTAGCAGGTATGAACAGGGAGAACAGAAAGGTCTTAATCTGGGATTTAAATTCTGGGCTCCAACATGCATTGAAAACCTCCATGACAAAAAGAGAAAAATGACACAAAATAATTAATAATTTAATGGTATTTTTTTTTCACTAACAAAACTTTATTATCTTCATCTCCAAAGTGCAGGTGCTTGTTGTGAAAACAATATTGTACTACAATCAGATCTATTATTTTCGTCACCAGAGCTCATGGCTGACATGGCTGGTAGTTTTTACTTACTGAGAGAAGGACTTCTGCACATCTAATTGTTAAACTGAAGTGTTCACACACATTTTTGCATTCACCAGTAAAAATGTCTCATTCACTCAATTACAGGATTCCTGAAGTTTTTCCCAGCAAACTGCGCCTTGTCCCCCAACTCCTCCTCGATTCTGCCAGAGAGAGGGGGAAAAAAGCAGGGTGTTTCAATTCAGCAAACATTAAAACATTTCTGAACTGGCAGTTCAAACTGCAGTTTTAGATATTCTAAATGATACAATAGAGTATTTTTCAAAAAAATATTTATTGCTCTTTAACTTTTATAGTGTCATAATACAAATGTAAAATTTAGTGTTTTTTGTATTTAATGTAACAGACCAACTGGCAGAGAGACTACAATTATAGTTAGTGGGTCACACTTGCAAACACTTTTGCAAGGTATTGTATTTAGAAGGTTTTCAGTCTAATTCTAGTTTATTGTAGTTGTAAGCAATTATTACTACAAAAGAAGAGAGTGAAATAGGGTATTTTGACCAAATGACAGAAATTATTAAGTGTTTCAATGAAACTAAAGCTCACCTCAGGATCTGGTTGTATTTAGCCAAGCGCTCAGAACGACAAGGAGCCCCCGTCTTGATCTGGATATGATAAAAACATTTAGTTTTTGTTTCCCAGACACGTGATTGACTGCTGGCGACCAGCTTCAAGTCTGTAACTTATTATCCACTCCAAAAAGGTGAAAGTTCATATTATCTGCTTGCATGAATACATGTTTATTTAAAGCCTGAACATTGCTCTGTATATTACCTGTCCTGTGCACAGTCCAACCACCAGATCGGCTATGAAGGTGTCCTCAGTTTCCCCGGAGCGGTGGCTCACCATCACACCCCAGCCGCTCTCCTGGGCCATCTTACACCTGCAGGGCGCAGACACATTTCACTGGAGTGTCACCATCATACTGGTAACTGTGGGGTGAACTGATGTCGACTTACGCCTTCATTGACTCTGTAACTGTTCCAATCTGATTGACTTTGAGCAGCAGACAGTTGCAGGCCTTTTCCTCCACCGCCTTGCAGATGCGGCTGGGATTCGTTACAGTTAAATCGTCTCCGACAACCTGGATGTCTGAACTCTCTGTGAAGTTGGTCCAGGCCGCCCAGTCGTCCTGGTCGAATGGATCCTCAATGGACACCACTGAATAAATGGTTAAACAGGTTTTCAGTAGACACATAGTGTGTGATAGTACAAATAACACCCCATAAGCTTTTGAAACCTATTTCAATGTTAAAATTCAGGCTTTTTGTCACATGCAGCTGAATCACCTCAATTAGTTTCAGTGCTGCTAAAATATATAATGACTTCTAAATTAGCCAGTCAAGCAGTGTGCATAGATGTTTTAGCTTCCCAAGCTGCATTTTCTTCCTAATATTTTATGAACTAATAAAAGAAAAATCTTCAAATAGGTAAGTTTTCTTTAAATAATTTGATTTTAAGTTCCACAGAAAATCAGCAAATGGATACATTCTTAATAATAAATATGCTAGGGTCCACGGTAGGCCAGAAAGTTAAAATTTGACCTGATCTAACAAGAACGCCTTCCACTGTCCCCTACACGGCCTGTAGAAAACTCTACCAGGTAACCTCTGAAGTTGTCTGGTTGCAGTGGATTTTCTGTAGGGGTATCAAAGCAAAGTGGGCTAAAAATGAATGCATGACACACTTTTGAGGTCCTCGTTTCCTAGTTATGCGATAATTTGCATTTGTGCGTCACATAAAATCACCTTTAAACACAATAGAGTTTGTTATTGTAACATGACAAAAGAGAAAATGTTCAAGGGGCATGAACAGATTGTATGGCACCGTTTATCCTCAATCATCTTGTAGTTAAATAATTAATTGCGTCCTAGTCTCTTCCTGAAAAATCAATGTGTAAAAACTTGCAAACCTGGATAATCCTTCACAAAGCTCCTGTAGAGATCAGCCAGCTCATCTGGGGAGATGTAGCGGCTCGGGTCGTCAGGCGACTTGAAGTCCAGGTCGTATTTTCCGTCCCGGTAGAACTCTGACGCAGCTACGTCCATGCCGATCACGACCTCCTCTGTGTACCCAGCTTTAGCAATGGCCTCTTTCAGGAGCTCCAGAGCTTCAGGGTTTCACAGCCAGCGCAAGCACATATGGAAAAATGAAACATTTCACTGTCAACATGCTTTTGTGACTTTTCTGTTGCTTTTTGCTATTAAAATGACAAATGTGAGGGGTGTGCTGTAGTGGTGCTGGGGTTAAGCACAACCCACATATGGAGGCCTTAGTCCTTGACGCAGCTGTCACAGGTTTGATTCCCGGCCTGGGTGACCTTTGCTGCATGTTTTCCCCTTCTCTCATTACCCACTTTCCTGTCAATTAACTACCAAATAAAGGCCACTAGAGTCAATAAAATCTAAAAAAAAAAAAGACAAACGTGATCATGCAAGTCATCAGGGAACTGATTTGTATGTATGAAGACCTATGTTAGTCGCATGTTTCTGTAGTTGCACTTTTTCAGAAGCTTGTTGGGATGGCATCAACAGTAAGAATGCCCACCCTCCTTGTTTTCCAATATGTTTGGAGCAAAGCCGCCTTCGTCGCCCACATTCGTGGCATCCTGTCCATATTTCTTCTTGATGACATTTTTCAGGTTGTGGTAAACCTCTGCTCCGATACGCATGGCTTTCTTGAAGGTGCTGGCACCGATAGGCAGGACCATGAACTCCTGCATGGCGAGCTTGTTACCAGCGTGAGAGCCGCCGTTGATCACATTGAAGGCCTGATGGTGGCGGAAAACAGAAGAGACACGAAGCCTGTAGTTAACTGAACTAGAGGAACCCTGTGAATGTGCATTTGCTGTTTAATGAAAAGTCTCACCGGCACAGGCAAGATGACCTCAGGGTTACCTGCCAGGTCAGCAATGTGGCGGTAGAGGGGAACGCCTTTTTCTGCAGCGCCAGCTTTGCAAACAGCCAGAGAAACACCGAGGATGGCGTTCGCACCAAATTTGGCTACAATAAATGAAAATATTAGTGAAAGCTTAGCAGTAAGATAACAAAATACACACATTTTATGCACACGAGATTCCAGCTAAAATTGAACCAGACATTGAAGATAGCTATAGGTGAAGTTACATAGAGATGGTTTCTTACATTTGTTCTCGGTGCCGTCCAAATCGATCATCATCTGGTCAATTTTCTCTTGGTCAACCACAGAAACATCCTGAGGAAACAGGAAGTGTCACACATCTGATTTCCATCAGTGAAGACAAATTAACACTGGGAACATAACTGCTGTCTTACCTCACTGACCAGTGCAGGGGCAATAGTTGAATTAATGTGTTCGACAGCCTGGGAGACGCCTGTAATGAGGAGTTAGTTATGCTCTCACTGCATAATGCACAAGTCACTCAAAGGGACAAACTCCAGAACACATTACACCTTTAATGCTCCTAATTTGCACCAAATTTATGAGTGACAATGTTAATCAGAGTAAAAAAAAATCCACCCTGTTTTGATGCCAGAGCTGATCCAATGTTGTATATTAAAATAATTTGATTTGGGGGCCTTCCAGCTAGCATCAACTACTACAGCTTGACTAAAGGTGCATTCCCACTGCAGGAATGTGTAAAAGAACCAAGGTATAAGGTATAAGAAAATATTTTTAAAAGATAGAAACTCTTTACTGTCCAACTACATGGAATAAAGTGAAACATTTTCAGCATCAAGAATTCTTCCTTGATAACCAACTAATTTATTTTTGTACAAAATACAGTTACAGTGCAACTAGGGGGCCTCCTGTTGGTTTGGAGGGTTTATTATGCCTTCGATCGTCTGATTAATGTCATATCTTGCTCTCCATTCACCACATGAATGAGAGGGAGCACACAGATACATGAAAGAGATGTAAATTTTTAAACTATGAGGGAAATAAAGCCTGTTAACATTTTAGGTAAAGGCACAAATTCAGCATGCCGTTTCCAGCATTGAACAACAATAATGACACACAGACCTTTCCCCAGGAAGCGAGACTTGTCATTGTCTCTCAGCTCCAGAGCTTCATAGATCCCAGTAGAAGCACCGCTGGGAACAGCAGCCCGAAACAGACCTGGAAATCATCCAGAGGCACAAGAACACCAAACACAATGAGTAAACAACTCAAAAAAGCTACATTTCCCCCCCAGAAGATTTAAATTTTTAACTGAGCCACACTGTTACTGTATTCAAGGTTAGCAGGAGGATGCTACATGGTAATGGTGGTGACAGTACAATGTGCATAAAGTGTGCAAAAGCAGCAATATAATATAAAGTCAGGTTGCTGCTTAACAAGTTTCTGGACAATTGTTTAGTTTCCAGAAACAGACAGATGTTCAGTCATTGTTCTCAGATTTCTTTGCAAACACTGCTACAGGCTGAAAGTGTGTAGCACAAAGGCAACATTTACCAATTTCTCCTGAAAGTTTTGCAAGCAGTTTGTTGGTAAAGCAATTAAAGTGCTTTGGGGAGTTCACGTAAATGATGTTTGAGAAATTGGAGGACAGCCAAAGTTCAATTATAGTTTATCATTATAAGAACACATTGTCAATCAATTTACATCCTGATATCCAGGAACAGAAACGTATTGAAGTCAAGTGTACAGGCCTACCTTTGTCAGTGTAGAGATCAACCTCCACTGTGGGGTTTCCACGAGAATCAAAGATCTCTCTGGCGTGGATCTTAATAATAGACATGGTGCACACCTGAAGATGAGACACAGGTACACTTGTTAATACTGAAACAAGCAAACAAAAAGATTTAAATGAAGTTATCACTGGGTAATATTAATTACTGAACCTCTTCCTCTAGCTGGAGTACTCAAAAATATCCTGACCTAGCTGCAAGCTTAGGAGAGACAACAGACAAACTGCCACTTTAATTGGATTAGGCTTGTTCAGCTGATGAGTCACATGGATGGCAGGATAATGAACTTAGGCCATCTGCCAGAGAACTGGAGACTGTGAAAGGGCGTAGTTGCTTTTAGAAAGCTTGGGTTTATAGCTCTGAATTTCAGCCATGTCATCATGAAAGTTTAAAACAGAACTCCTGTAACTCTATAGCCACTCTGCAAATAATATATCATGATATCTGTTTTCGCTATATCTCTATATACCACCAGCAAACAGAGGAAAAACTACAAGATGCAATTCATGGTGAGCTTTGATCAAATTTTTGTTCACAAAGCTGCAGGAAAAAAAAGATCTGGCATTGAACTGCTGCAGATATGGAATTTCAACTGATGTCTGTCAAAAAAAACATTTTCCAACAAAAAGTGAAAGACATTTTTGGTTTTCCGGGTCTACATTATGAACAGGTCACTTTTACAAAAACAGCTTTCAATAAGTTACACGAATCATGCTCTGAAAACCAGAAGCAGCAGAGTAATTATGCTCCGCACCTAAATATCTGGCTAAAATCCTGGCAGGGTGCAGCGGGAAAGAGCAACACATGTATGGAGGCCTTAGTCCTCCACGCTGTCTGGGGTTCGAGTCTGACCAACGACCTTTATCACGTCTTCCCCGTCTCTCATAACCCACCTTTTTGTCAGACAACTGCAAAATAAAGGCCACTGGAGTCAACAAAACATTAAAAAATAATTTTACATATGGAACGGGTCAGAAAAGATGTAGCAAATGGGGATGGTCCTTAATTATGCAGTTTCAGAAACTTTATGTATTTAATCTGTATTATGAACTAAATAATTTCACGCAGACAAGAAGCAGGTTCATTACCAAAACCATTATTTTATTACTATAGAAGTATAAGGTGACATTTACTGGCAAAGGTTATATAACATTATGTTGCAAATGCAATAATTCAAGAAAACACACTGCTAGTAAGTATGTAAAAAAAACCATGCAGTGACATTGAATTGATTTATAAGTTGAAGCTACATTCTGCTTCACATATTAGTGTTTCATACTTATATAGCTTAATGAGGTAAAATGGGTACCGTTTTAAAAAATGACACTGTTGCAAGTATTTCTCTAAGAGGATCGTATGTCTGTGGTGTTACAGGTAAAAAAACAACAACAAAAAAGAACAAGTATACATTTTATGAGTTCAAAAGGATATAGAAGTTTTTCAAAAAATAAGAGTGGCATGCATTTGCATTTTTCTCCTTTTACTCTGATGTCACAAAATAAAATCCAGAGAAACAATCCAGAGACTTCCAAAGTAATTTAATGAGGCTTTAGGAGGATAACCAGCTTCATCTGGATAACATATTTGCTTTTAAATTGAAATACAAGAAATTCATTCTGCACACTTAATCGGCCTTTGAGCAGAGGAGCAACAGGGGACTTGAGCTTTTGGCAGCAGCAGAAACAGAGCCACATTCTTTTCTTCTTCTCTGCCTTGAGATACAATCTCAGCTCTTGTGGTCTGCAGCTTTGGACAGGAACCCACTTCCTCTGATGTTTGCTGCAGAGGTATTTTGGAGGAGAAAAAGTAGCCAACAACAAAGAGAGCTTTGTGTCAACTGGCTTTGGTCGCTATATCTGTACATATTTTCTTAGTTATGAGCAGACCCTGATAAACGTTTTGCCTCCTCGCCCTCTGACCAGGTTTAGTGGGAAATAATGAAAAGTTACAATTTGTGATTAAACGTAGGACTTATCTGCGGCTCTCAACCGTTTGATAACTGAAGATAGGCACCAGCACCCCTCCTGACCCCAATGGGATAAGGGTGTAAAACAATGGATGGATGGATTAATGGACATAGGACTTATTTACAGTGTTTTACAACAGTAGTGAATATGATTATCGATAACCGCACCTTCATGATATAATTTGTCTGGTATTATTATTTTTAGATTACCTTACTGTTATTTGTAATCTAAAATATAATGTGAACGTCATACCTGCCTTAAAAATGTGTCTGTAGTACGATAAACATTAACCTGCACAGATACCAAACACATACGCTCTCTATTTGGAGTCTATGTTAACTTAAAATAATCAAGACCTTATTTTGATCTCTGAGAAAATGAGAAGTAATGGAAATTTACTCACTTATATCAGCATATAAACTCACACACGGACAAAATTATTAGTATTAAAGACCAAAAACCCTACAATGGAATAACTTAAAACCGACTAAAGAAATATAGAAAAATTTATTCTGTTGAAATGTCTGATCTACTTTTATCAGTTTTTAGTTTTTTTTCTGTTGTTTTGTTTTTATTATTTTTGTCAGACTCAAGTTAATTAATTGACCATTGTGGGTTTTTCATTTATTAACACAGAGGTACCTGCAAGTTTTCCCATGTGTGTCTTGGTTTAAGTGGTTTGTCCAGTTATATACACCATATATGGTGTATATGAGAATTTTATTTGTGTTCTGCTTCTGATACACTCATACAGTAAGATCCTTCATATTGTTTGTAGCCTCTCTTCAAATGATGGATTTAGTAAAATAAGCAAATGTGAGGAAAATCAAACTTAAACAGCTAAGCTTTATCAGGTTCATTATATGGTTCATTAAATTTGACAATATGTGTGAACTCAAGAGACTGAATGTTGAAACTGAATGCGTCTTTTCTCAGACGCATTCAGTGAGGGAAGCCTCTTCGTTTCCCATCTCCCTCGACATCCCTGGGAGATCATCCGCAGGCTGGGCGCTCGTCTTGAGGCGCTGGGAAAAGTAGGCAGCAACACAAAAAAACTGAAGGTTTAACATTGTAAATGTTTTGATAAAATATGAAATATCAACTGCTAACCTCCCAAATGGTTCCTTTTCCTTTGGCTAGTTTCCACACCATGTTGAGTGGGATCATAGACAACGAAGACAAGGACAAAAACCAGCCAATGCAATAAGCCCACCATGGATACACATATGAATTGTTGAACTTCATCGGGGTGTATCTCAGGAGCAAGAATACAAAGGATCCCTTTAAAGGAACATGAAAAAGAGAGAACACTGTGGGATCAAATCTAAACTTATCACGTGGAACCAGAGACTCTGTAAAGTTACTTACAAAGCACAAGAGAGGGATGGCATACAGCCAGCAGTACTTGATAAGTGGCAGAGGTTTGTACCCAATCATGTCTTTGATGTTGTCAGAGAACCGTCCAGCTCCTGTAGGAGAGAGAGAGAGGGAAAGAGGGAGAGAGACAGAGACTGCTTTACTGTTGAGTGGAAAAGATAATGATGTGTGTAAATGGATCTATGTATTCCCACCTAAAACAAGAAGTTTCGAAGGTTGCGAAATAAAATAAACTTTTTTTAAATCATTTTTTTCACTTTGAACATTATTAATTTCTTTTTATCACCTCCTTCACCTCACATGGCAGAAAGACCCACTAAGGTGCTCATCTTTTTTTATCTGCTTTTTTATTTCAGTTGTTTCTCTGAGTGTATATTTGGCTGAGTTTAGGTGAGAAACTGTTGTTTTTTTTATCGAAGCGTCCTGGTTTATAAAGATAAACACGTATGCCTTACCTCAATGACATGTTCTCTTTTCTTTCCCATTTTGAGCAGTGGCTACTCCTCCCAGGGAAAAGGCGGGTCGTGACTTACAAGCTAAACAGTCTCAGAACTAAATAAAACCTAATAAAATGAACTATAAATTGAAAAAACATTTATAGCGTCATTCATCCTCAGTTTTTGTTTTCCTAGAAACATTTTTTAAGGTAGGATTTTTAACACCCACTTTTTTGAGTGAAAATATGGATCTGCACAAGCTTTTTAGATATCTTTGGCAAGAATGTCGGTATAAGTCATAAGTCGGTATAGTAAATTTTTCAATATCAAATTTAAAATAAAAACACTGAACACTTCAACCTAAAATAAGCCTGACTGCTAGGCTAAGGGACATTTTCCTGGAATTGAAAAACCTTTTTTTTAAGCCCTTTCTCACGTTTCTCTGATGTTATTTTGATTTCCTCTTGAAGTCACGCTCCTTTTTGTTTAGTAAATCAGATGTACATTTTTAGAGGATAACTGCATCATGGTTGGGTAAAACAATGTAAGTGTATGCTGGTTGGCTAAAATAACATGACAGCTGTTTCTTACCATAAATCCATCCAATAATCACTGACTGGAAGATTGCCATCATCAGAAGTGTGGGTCCGCTGCAGACATAGTGATCAAAGATCTGCAGAATGTAAATTCCTGCCTGAAATCAAAATGTTTAATCAGTTATATGAGGCCAGGTTATTTGATGGCATATCCAAACTCTGAAACAGTTATTATTTATGAGGACCAAGTTTCCTAATAAGACACCTGATTGGTCCAGAAAACAGTCAAAACTGTTTCTTTTAGGCTCACCTCTGACACTAAAAAAAGGCCAAACATAAAGCCACAGGAACAGATCAGCAACAGCAGAAGCTCTCTGCGGTATCCTTTCCTGATCCTGGAAGGACAGACATCTGATAATGAGGTAATGATGCTTTCCAACCCAACAAACTAAAAAAGGGGAGAGTCACACAGAGAGGAGTTACACTGAGGATGTATTTTATGACACACTTACATTTTTTAAAATAAATTTAAGATCTTGCTATTGACCTGACTGTCGACTCCTAAAAAGATAATTATGGAGAAAAAGCACAAGGACCAGAATTGAGGCCAAGGCAGGAGAGTTACAGCTTGTGGGTAGACTATAAAGACAAGTCCGGGACCTGCAAAATAAACCACAAAGGAAATGGTTTATTGAGTTTCTAGTATTGTGGGGCTGATACTAAAAGCATGGCGGTACTCAAGCAAAAACCAGATTTACATCTGTACCTGATTCAGCAACAGCGGAAATGTCGACACCCTGCTTTTGTGACATGTAGCCCAGAATTGAGAAAACAGCAAATCCAGATAAAAAACTGCTTCCACTGTTTACCAAACAAAGATAGAAGGAGTCTCTGCAAAAAGAAAGACAGAAGCAACTTGTATCATGTAAGACACAAATTGTAAACAGTCTGGCAACCATGTCATAAGTGATGTCATTTAGTTGTAGTACGTATAAAGTTGGGATTTGAACTTAGGACCTCCTTCCTTCAAGGCAACAGAATAAACAACTGTGGAATTGCTGTAGGAATAAACAATTATCTTTTCTGGCAAAAACCTAGGACCATAAAGACTCCTCTAAGGTGCTCACCTGTAACAGTCGTTGTTATACTTGTTGTAGCTCCCGAGGGTGGTCAAAAATCCCAAGCACAGAGCAAATGAATAAAACATTTGTGTTCCAGCATCTATCCAGACCTATGAGACAGTCAGAGTTAGTTTGTCCAATTACACTCAAAATTAATTAAAAGGACGTGCTTGAGTCAGGGTACCTGCGGATCAGCGAGCCGTGCAGGATTGGGGTACAAATAGTACTTTATACCATGGAAAGCTCCTGGAAGAGTCACTCCTCTGACTAACAGCAATACTAACAAGAAGAGGGGGAATGTAGCTGTGAAGTAAGTCGCCTGCATAAAATAATTAAAAAAAGTCATCCATCCTGTTAGCAAGATAAACTTACAAACATTGGCTGGAAAAAGCAGTTGTGTTGGCCTCCACGTCTGTCTAATTGCTGCCTTTCCAGGAGGTAGTCATGCACCTTCTCCTCCATGATAAGACTTCATTTATCTCCAGTACATAGTTGATGGTTATCATAAAATCCTTTCTAAACCAGCTAAAAAAAAACACACCCTGCATTGCAGAGCTTCCCGGAGAAAGAGAAGACTCGATTTACTTCATATAAGTGAAACCAAACTGTCATTAATTATTGATAGTTTTAATTTTTATGTTCATGTGAATAAGTAAGGGAGACAATGAAAATGCAATAAAACAGGCTAAAAGCACTGGTTACTTTATTGAATCTAGATTATTTTTTCCTTTGAGTTATACCATACCATACCAACTTTATTTATAAAGCACTTTAAAACTACCACAGCTGATACAAAGTACTGTACATTAAAACACAACATAACAATTAAAAAAAAAAAATAAAAAAAATAAAAACTCTTAGAGTTTAAAAACAAAAAAACATACAATTTAAAACTAGATCCCGCTGGAGTTGAAAGCCAAGTAAAATAGATGGGTTTTAAGATGAGCTTTAAAAGTGGACTGTGAAGGGGCCTCTCTAACGTGCAAAGGCAAGTCTTTCCATAACTTAGGACCCATGACAGAGAAAGCCCTGTCCCCTCTGATCTTCCTTCTGGATCTCAGTTCCTCCAAGAGCAGCTGATCTGCTGACCTGAGAGACCGATAGGGTATGTAGGGGTGAAGAAGCTCAGAGAGGTAAGCCGGGGCAAGATTATGCAGTGATTTAAAAATGAACATAAGAATTTTAAAATGAATCCTAAAATATACAGGCAGCCAGTGAAGTGAGGCCAGGACAGGGGTCACATGTTCCCTCTTTCGAGTTCCTGTCAAAAGTCGTGCAGCAGCATTCTGAACCAGCTGCAGACGTGAGAGCAGCGACTGACTGACTCCCAGATAAAGTGTGTTACAGTAATCCAATCGAGTCAAAATAAAAGCGTGGATCAGTGTTTCAAAATGCTGCCTGGAAAGAAAAGATTTCACTGACGCCAATCGCCTTAAATGATAAAAACTGGACTTAACCACGGCTCTGATTTGGCTGTCCAATTTGAAATCACTGTCCACCTTAAAATCAAGATCTGTAATAACAGGTTTAAAATAAACCTCTAAAGGTCCCAGGGCAACAGAGGAGGACTCACAGGAGCCTCTGGGTCCAAACACCATCACCTCTGTTTTCTTTTCATTAAAATTTAAAAAAGTTCAAGGCCAACCTAGCTTTAATATCACCTAGACATGCCAGGAGATGTTTGATGGAATGGACAAGCAAACCACTACAAACAATCACAAAAGATGATTCTTACATCCGTCCATCCCTCCAGTGTAATTCTGGTTTTACCTTTCCAGTGGATCTCACTCCCTTCCAAACACAGAAGTAGCAGACAGTCCAGGACAGAAGAAGGCACAAAGAAAGGTCCCATCGTATGCTTCCCAAGGTCTCTATGCCAGTGGAAATATTTAAAACCCGCCGCCTATGACATTAGACGCACTGTAAGGCCATGTACAGAATTGTTTTTAAAATTGTATTTTTTTAGCACAATACATTTTTACTCATGAATAAAATGAGAGCTACATTAACAAGCTTCCCTGTCTAAGACAATAAAAATGCAATTACTTTTCAACAATAATATATTATAGTTGTCATTGTTTTTCTTCAAACGAATATTTAAGGGGGCAAATACTGTATAAAATAATAATAAAAAAAAAACATAAATATGCATTTTATGAATCTAAATCTAATCAGTCTGACACTGAGAACAACTGATTTGTGGTATTGAATATTATTCTTGGAAGTGGAAAATATATGTTTCCAAAATATTTAGTATTAACAGATAAAGAGTCTTAAATATATATTCAGTTACAACACAAATAGTTGCAATACACAACAACCTGAGGTATAATGTGGGTTTAATCAGTTACATGTCCTGACTGACAGATCACAAAGGTTTACAACAAAATGTCTAATGCCAAAATTTCATCTTCATCAGTTCACAAGCCCTGCACCCAAATGTGCCATTCAAGGTTCTTAATATATTTGGTATAGTGGTGTGTTCCCATATTTTTGCTGATTAGATATAATTTTAAACAAGAGGGAGCCAAGAATCCTTTGAGCGATGAAGAAAGTTTGTCTGTCCAAAAATGTTCCAGGACTTACTGCCAAAACTCCAGAACAGAGGATGACAAAGATGCATTCCTCCCAGTCCAGTTAGCAGAGCCATTATAGTGGTTTATTACCACACAGTTATCTGAAATATATTAAAAAGTTTTAGAAGTGAAATTAATGTGTATTCTGAAAGGATAAACACCGCCATGGGTTTGTCACACAGCAAAACTTCAATGTATTTTATTTGCACTTTATCCAATAGACGAGCACATTTACATCGCTGTGAAGTGGAAGAAAAATAATACTAATACAAAAAATACAAAGTCTAATCTGTGCATATGTATTCAGTCCTCCTGCCTTTTGCAGTGTTCCTGTCAAATTCACTAAACTTTCTGCCTCTCTGAACATCAGATTTTGAGTTTTCCCACTGACGCTCAACTGGATTTGAGAACTTTAACTAGGCCTTCCTAACACATAAACCAAACATGCCTTGATATAAACTGTATTGTGCCTGTTTCTGTGTTTGTGGTCTTGTTCTGCTAGAAAGTTCACCTGTATGTCTCCCCCCCCAGAATCGGCATAGATTTAGCTCCCTCCATCTTCGCTATGAACTGTGATGCATCTTCCCAACACATTTCACCTTTGCAATGGTGTGTTATTGGGGGAGATGTTTATACATAGTATTTTGCATGTAACACAAAAGGTTAATATTTAGTCTAATCTGTTCAGGACACCTTCCCTCTTCCAACTCTTACATAAATGATAGTTGTGTGCTGTGCTAGACTAATAAACGTCTCAGGTGTAAATCTCTGCAGCTCCTTCAATGCTACTGTGGATCTTTTGGCTCAGATGTTGGATTAAATCATTCTCTGTGAGATGTTAAAAGCTGATATTGTTTGATAATGTTTCTTATGGGGTTTTTTTCTGTCATAATTCTGTTTATATTGGACCGTCATATTAAATTCAAACAAAATACGTAAATATTTTTGTTTGAGTTAACACGACAAAATGTGGAAAACTTCAATGAGGATCAATGCTTTTACATGCATCGTAAGTCTAAACCCTTTAAGGTTTTTTCTTTAACCAGTTACAGTCTTAACAACATGTGTTTTATTGTCATAGTTAATGAATTTACCGGTATTCCACACGTTGTTGCAGCTTGTCCAGGGCAACTCTGTAGAGAACGAAGCGAAGAAGTAGAGGAAAGCCCAGGCCAAAACTACGATGTAGCTGACACTAGCATAAAAAATAATCATCTGACTGGCATATCCCAATCCTAGAAATAACCAATAACATAATTATTGGTTTTTCTTTAGTTTACTGCATTTCATTTTAATTATTACAGTGTTTGTGAGCTTACTTACCTTCAAATAAGGGGCAGACCTTTCTCCAGCACATGATTCCCCCCTGACTGGTGTACTGACCCAGTGATGTTTCCAGTATGAACATGGGAATTCCACAGGTAACAAGAAAAAGTCCGTAAGGAATGAAGAATGCCCCTGAAAATGCCAACAAATATTAATAAAAGCTGTGAACATTGTTATGTCTTGTTATTGCATGTAAAGGACAGCAGGGGGAGCTCTGACTATGGGTAAGAAGACATGCGGTATGAAGAAGAGGAAGAAGAGAGTAAAAGAGAGTACAGAAGCTGAGCTACGTGTGATGCCTGCTTATTCCACTATTTCTACATAGCACACCACAACATTGACGACGAGGATGTCTATTTCTGTGCCTTTACCTACTCCATTCATGCCATGCCCAGGGGAACCAGCGATACCGTTTCCAACATGGCTAAAGATGTTCGACAACTACATGTTGGTGATAGCTGCATCGGGGGATAGCTGGCCTGATGCCAGAAAGCGCGCGGTTTTACTTCATGCCCTGGGTACAGAGGGCCAACGGCTTTTCTACACCCTGCCGAATACCGGAGACACGTTTACTACTGCTATTGCTGCCCTTAAAGAACATTTTGTGCCGAAGGTGAACGTCATTGCTGAACGTCACAAGTTTCGACAACGAGCACAGAGACCGGATGAGACGGTAAACCAATTCTTAGCTTCTCTAGGGGAGTTAGTTGCTACATGTGATTTTGGGAACATGGAGGACCAAATGCTACGTGATCAACTGATTGAGCGTGTTGCTAATACTCGCATAAGAGACAGATTATTGCTTGAACCGGACTTAACACTTGCTAAAGCTACTACATTGGCGTTGCAAATTGAAAGTGGATTAAGAGATGCTAACGTCCTTTCTGATGCTACCGCTGCTAGCGCTTCCGCTCCAGTGAGGGCCGTACAAAAGCAACCAAAGCAAAGCCGCCGCTGGGACACGAAGAAGAAGCCGCCGGATCCTGTTCCTGCTACGACTCAAGCTGCTGCTAACCGCCGTTCCTGCTTCCGCTGTGGATCTTTCAACCATCTTGCTAACAAACCTTCATGCCCTGCTGCTAAAATGATATGCAACAAGTGTGGTAAAGTGGGACATTTTTCACGAGTATGCCGTTCGACTCAAAAGGAGGTACGTGAAGTCGTCATTAATGAGCCCACAGTTCTTTACATGAACAATGCAGTGCAAGACAAGATCCTCTGCACAGTTCAAGTGACTGTTAATGGACGATGCAAAGATGTTGAGCTGATTGTGGATACAGGCTCATCGGTGTCCATTATACCAGAGAACATTTACCAGACCTACTTTTCTGAATGTGTGCTAACTGAACCTACATTTGCTCTTGTTACCTATCCAAAAGAGAAAATTTCTGTAAAAGGGTGCTTAAAAGCTACTATTTCTCATGATAGTCATTCTACTGCAGGTACTCTTGTTGTTGTTGAGTCAGGTGCTGCTCTTCTTGGCTTAGATTTGTTTCAGGCTTTACAAATGAAACTTGAAGGACGAAAAGTTATTACTACTAGTACTTCTCCTACCCCTACGGTTGAACCTGCTGTGCCAGAGACTGTGTCAGATCATTCTCCAGACATGTCAGTT